ATCATATCGTGTATTCTTGGGTTGTCGGTTATCAAGATCAACTACTGGTTCTATCTCAACATCATTTTCTGGTTCTTTACTATTTGTTTGGGTATTTTCATGAACCTCATCGTTATATCAGAAGGTGAGTGTTCATTACCAGACTGAGTTTCAGCATCAGAGATAGAAATTTCATTATCATTATCAGGAGGTTTTTCTACTTCAGGTTCACTAGGAGCATGCAAAGTCATATCATTTTTCTTCTTCTTTTTGATTTTAGAAGGACTACGTGCATCAGTGTTAACTCTTTGAGAGTCGTGTTCAATTCTTTTTGGGTGTCCCTCAGGATAAAGTGGTTCCTGAGTCATTTTACCTCCTCTAGTTACTACTCTAACAGCAAAGTCACATATATTATTATTCATTTCATCTAACAACTCTCTTTGAGATTTAGCAACTTGTTCTAACTGAGTTTGAACCATAGAAGCATGCTTCCCCACACCTCTAACATCATTTGAGATTCTAAATAACAAGTCACTTAAGCGAGCAATCATATCAGAATTGTATTTCAATTGTTTCATAACATTTGCATTGAAGTGATCTTGCTTTCTAATGTAATTTTCAAACTCATAAAGGCATTGGCTAGGGTGCATATTGTGAGAATTGTCATTATTATTGAACTTCATTAGAGAATTTACCTCTACCACCTTAGGTGGTGGCGGTGTATCAAGCCCATGTATTTCTTCGATAGGAGGTAAATTTTTGACATCCTCAGCTTTAATACCTTTTTCCTTCATAGATTTCTTTGCCTCTTGCATATCTTCTTCAGAGTGGGTTTAGGCGGTGGTTCAAGAAGAGTCCAATCATTATAATTTTTCAATATATTATTCAATAATTCTTCAGCTTGCCTAATAGTTCGTTCCCTGAAAACACAACCAGCACAACTATCTAGGAAATCCCTAGAAGCATCGATTAGTCCATTATAGAAGATATCAAGTATTTCATTTTTCTTAAGAGGATGATCAGGCAAAGCATTAAGCAATTGGCAAAGCCTCCCCCAAGCTTGTGGGAGACTCTCTTCTTCAATTTGCACAAAGTTAAATATTTCCTGTAAGGCAGCTTGTTTCTTATGAGGAGGAAAATATTTTTCAAAGAAGTAATAAATCATATCCTGGAGACTACGCACACAACCCGGAGCAAGAGTATCGTACCAAGCTTTAGCATCACCCTTTAATGAGAATAGAAATAATTTGAGAATATAGTAATAGCGAGTTTTCTTATCATGAGTAAAAGGGGTGGCTATGTCATTCAACTTAGTAAGATGTGCGACAACGGTTTCAGTTTCATAACCATGGAAATTATCAGATTCAACCAAAGTAATTAACTCTGGGTCGACAGAGAATTCATAATGCTTATCATCAATAAAGATAGGTGAAGTAGCAAACTTAGGATCATATTGCATTTTAGCATTCAAGGATTTTTATTTATACTTGCATAATAATTTCTCTGGATCATCTCTACCTTTACAAGCAAGAATATCTCTAGTTGTCTCCTCATTCATAACATAACCTTCCGGTACCTTTGGCAATTCACATCTAGGAGGGCTAGTTCTAGTAGGTGTTTCAAGATTTTCAGTTTCAAGCTCATCGTCAGTTTCAACAATATCGTGTTGTCTTACTATAGCAATTTGTTCATCAAGAAAGTCACCTAGTGGCACATCATCATCATTAAGCAAGGTACTAACATCATCATAAGTATCATTCATAGCAGAAGTAGCATCGTCAATGACTTGCGACATATCAAGATTAATAGCATGTGGTGGTGTTGCAAGTTTACTTATAACAGAAGGTGAATCTAAAGTAGAGCTAGATGGTAGTTCCTTACCTCCCATCGCCTTAGGGGGATAAATCTTAGTCTTAGCATCCTTCAGATTCTTCATATTGATAAATTGATAATAATCCCAAGTGACTCAACAAATATAGCTATGCTCCCCGGCAACGGGGCCAGAAAAAGGTCTTGATAACCCACAAGTATAGGGATCACACAGTTTTCGAGGGTAGATTATTCAACCCAAATTTATAGATTCGACACAAGGGGAGCCAAAGAATATTTGCAAGTATTAGCAGCTGAGTTGTCAATTCAACCACACATGGAGATTAATTATCTGCAACAAAGTGATCGGTATCAAAGTAATATGATAGTTTTGATAGTAGTAGCGACACCAATGGTAACGGTAACAGTGATAGCAGTAGTTTTGTAACAAGTGCAACACTAACGATAGCAGTGGTAACTTGGCAGAAAAAATATAAGAGAAATTTGTAGGCATTGGATCGGTAATTTATTGCATGATATTCATCATGTGACAGTCATAACCTAGGGCGATACAACACTAGCTCCAGTTCATAAATATAATGTAGGCATGTATTTCCTAAATGGTCATACGTGCTTATGGAAAGAACTTGCATGACATCTTTTGTCCTACACTCTCGTGGCAGTGGGGTCCAATTGGAATTTAAGGGATATTAGGGCCTCCTTTTAATAGAGAACCGGAACAAAACATTAACACATGGTGAATACATGAACTCCTCAAACTACGGTCATCACCAGGAGTGGTCCCGACTATTGTCACTCTAGGGTTGCCGGATCATAACACGTAGTAGGTGACTATAACTTGAAAGATCGGATCTAGAACATGGATATAATGGTGATAACATAAACGGTTCAGATCTAAAATCATGGCACCCGGGCCCAAAGTGACAAGCATTAAACATGGCAAAGTCATAGCAACATCAATCTCGGAACATAGTGGATACTAGGGATCAGGCCCTAACAAAACTAACTAGATTACATGATGAATATCATCCAACTCCTTACCGACCAGCGAGCCTATGAAGGAATTACTCACTCCCGATGGGGAGCATCATGGAATTAGCGATGGAGAATGGTTGGTGATGACGAAGATCGAAGATCCCCCTCTTCGGAGCCCCAAACGGACTCTAGATCTGGCCTCCAGATGAAGAATAGGAGGTGGCGGCGGCTCCGTCTCGTGGAACGCGATAATCCTTTCTCCTTAATTTTGTATGTAAAAATAAGATTTTATAGCGTCGGTTTTAGGGTCTGCGGGGCCACCAGGTGGGGACAACCCACCTGGGCATGCCTGGGGGGGGGCAGGCGTGCCCTGGTGGGTTGTGCCCACCCAGGTGCCCCCTTTGATGGTTCTTGACTCTAGAAATTCTCTTTTATTATGTAAAAAATCGTCACAAAGTTTCGTTCCATTCCGAGAACTTTTATTTCTGCACAAAAACAACACCATGGTAGTTCTGCTGAAAACAACGTCAGTCCGGGGTTAGTTTCATTCAAATCATGCAAATTAGAGTCCAAAACAAGAGGAAAAATATTAGGAAAAATAGATACGTTGAAGACGTATCAGGGTGTTGCCAATCTTCAATCCTCCACACCCAACAACCTTGCAACTTCGCTAGTTGAACGGAATGCAATGACAACCATGATTAGAGACCATCTGTTGAGAGCTCCACAATGGATGAAGACCCTAGAAGACAAACATCGATCTGAACATGTGTTTCAAGCAGGCGACTGGGTCTTTCTAAAGCTCTAACCGTACATGCAACAATTGGTGGCCCGACGTACCAATCACAAATTGGGGTTCAAGTATTTTGGGCATTTTCAGGTCTTGGAACAGGTGAGAGAGGTTGCCTATCATCTACAACTTCTTGAATCTATATTATCTCAGCATCTCAGGAAGAGTTAAAATATGCTCAAAAGCTGGTACACTCGACTAAACACGCTCAAGTGCTGGAACCATGACTGGTCAAATTTGGAGGGCGCACTCGCAAGTAGTACAAGATCGTGTGGAGGGGTCTTCCCATATCCATGACAACATGGGAATGGTTTAGCATGCTCTCTGAAAACCCTACAACTTGAGGCCAAGCTGCATTTCATGGAGAGGGGAGTGCTATGCTCCTATCTTCTATTGGGTCATCTGCTGGTCTAGTTGTACTCAAGCCGAGCGTCGTAGCTTATGTAGTTATTAGCTGTGTTTGTGCAGCGCATTCAAGATCATTTGTATCCACTAAACTCTTATACTCCTCACATAGAGCTTCTTCCTCAAGCTAACTCTCCCCCTTCCTCTGTGTCACTCATGTACATTGTTGATTCCATGAGTTCAAAGATCCACACCCTGGCAATTGTGGGGAATGCTATCAGGTGTGTAGCATTTGGTATATCTAGAGTGGCCGAGACAGTGCGAGGCAAGGGAAAAAGATGGGGAAAGCGAGTCAATGACATGTATACACCTAGGTAAGGACATGTGAGGGGATCTAAATCGAAATGACAAAACGAATCAGTAGCCTCAATCGCTTCCTAGGAGTTTTACCCCTAGGGAGCTTAGTGATTTAGAAGATTTTGTTCGTCTCTTTACATCAGTTCAGACTTTTGATGAACTTACAAATTTTCCTCCCCGTGAAAAAAACTTTCGGCCTTTAAAAGAGAACTGTTAACTTCTGAGAAGGCACGCCCTGAACTCGGATACATATGAATCCGGTTTAAAAATGCATTTTAAGCATGTTTTAAAATGTAAAAAAAAGTCAAAATAAAATTTCACGTGAGCATGTTCACAAAATATGTGTGCAGCACAACGTTCTTCGGAAAAATATCTTTTTATTTTGCCTCTATAAAAAAGATAAATTTTAGTGCTTCTAAATAAAGTTCAACGACACACTCTTTTTGTATGTTTTTTGCACAGGCCAAACGAGAAGTTGTTTTTTCGCGAAACTTTCTGACCGTACATAGAACATGAAAATGTACGTGCGCAACTTTTTTTTAGAATTTTTTGTGTTTAGAAATGTGTTTTTTTAAGTGGGTTCATATGTTTCTGGATTCATCCATGTATTTTCCTTTAACTTGTATCCTTCAAATAACACAGATATGTGTCAGGTATATATGACAACCCACACCACCGACAGTTTTCTACCGAAGCCACTGCTGTCCACCGATCCAAGGCTTGGTCATGAAGCGGGCTGCTTCGGAAGCCACTGCTGTCCATCGATCCAGGCCTTGGTCATGAAGGGGGCTGCTTCGGTTGGCGAGAGGTTGCGAGCCCACTTAACCCTGCCATCAGTTTTCGCCCCTTGGCCGTAGCATTGGTACTGCCCGTAGAACGCCGTCCTGCATGCAATGCAAAGTTGCAAACCCAGGCCAAAGCGCGTTATATATTGGTCTTCCTTTGGCGGGAAAATGGCAGCGGAGCAAGACTAAGGGTTCCTTTGATTCAAAAGAATTGCATAGGATTTTTGAAGGATTTAAACTCTTAGGAATTTTTCCTGTGATACTCGTTTGATTCATAGGATTGGCATCCTTAGGAATTTTTCCATATGATCCATTTGTACTATATTTTGAAGGAAAATTTCCATCCACTCAAACCTCTTTATAGAATTCCTTTGTTTTTCTAATGCTATCAAACATTCTTTCAAATCCTGTAGGATACTATGGGACATGTCACCCTATTCCTGCACTTTTCCTATTCTTTCATTTTGAAAATCCTGTGAATCAAAGAGGCCCTAAGTTTACCTCTGGTTGGCGGTGTGGTTCCAGTCATTCCAGCCTCGAGGGCTCACCGTTGCGGACATGTAGGTGAGAGCGAACACGACGCGGGAGTAGGGCTCCCATGGACGCCCCAGGATGGAGGTGCTGACCCCGACGCCGGTTAGCTTGCACCGGACGAAGCTGTATCCCGTGTAGTTCGACTCGGACGCCCGCTTCTGCGCTGTGAAGGCGCCGCCCGTGAGCGAGGTGGAGTGCAGGTGGCATTTCTGCACACGAACTATATATTGTTAGTTGATCTTGGCAGCAAAGCAACCTCTTGTGCGTTTTTCTTTTCGTTTTTTTTTTTTTTTGAAAAGGGGGTTTACCCTGCATCAGAAAGATGCATATGGCTCATATTTTTAAAATTATAATCCAGTAACAAAGTCGTCAAGTATCGAGGTGCGAAAATAAACAATAAGCTCGAAAGAGCTAAAACTCAAAGCCACAACCGGCTGGCAAACACAATAGGAACACTACATGTCTATCCTATTACATGACCGCCATTCAAACCTCTCTCGTGCGTACGGAGTAAGTACGTATGATCTATCTATGCGCACGGGTTTGCTGGTGAGAACGGTGAACATGTAGTACTTACTTCAAAGAGAGCCCGGCCGTTCCCGCATATGAAGTCGGTGCCACCTTCGATGTAGCACCCGCAGTAGTAATGGCGCCCGTTGTCGTCGAGGAGCGTGTCTTGGAACGACGAGAAGCTGCACCCGTAGAACGCCGCCCTGTCTCCGGCGACTCTCACCGCGATGGCCTGCTTGCTGGTCCCGAACGTGTTCTAAAACCCCGAGAAAATCAGCAAGAAACTGTCAACACGCGCACCTCGCTCTCTGTGTGCAAGCACGAACCATGGATGGCAGACTTACCCGGAACGTTAAGCGGCTGGCGACGAAGTCGGAGGCCCGAACGGTCACGGTAGGGGAAGTGTCGGTCGAGAGCCAGGGCTCGTTCCAGGTGATGACGGTCGTGTTGGCGCTGGTGCCGAAAAGTGTTATGTTGGGCTTGTCCACGGGGACGACGATCTTCTCCCTGCAACGAAAGATTACAGGCGATCAGGCATGCACCACACCACGTACTGTCTACTAGTACTCCCGTATCAGAATTCAGAAGAAAACTTACTTGTAGACTCCGGGCTTGATGAGGATGACAGTGCGGGCGGAGCTGTTCACCGGGGCGGCGGCGATCGCCTCGTGGATCTTCCTGTAATCGCCTTTGCCGGATTGGTCGACCGTGAGGAGATTACCCGGACCCGGCATCGCCATGCCACTCGCACCGGCACAGGCCGCGTCGTCGGGGAAAGAGTAGGAAGAGGTGGCAGAGCAAAAGCAGAGCAGAGCCAGCAGTATGGCGACCCTGGCCGCCGAGTTGACGCGATCTAACATCTCCCGATGATTCAACATCCCGATTGATTTCGCGCCATTCGGTGCAGGCGGGATGGGATTTATATAGTGGAGTGGAGGGTGCGTCAACGGATCGGTGCAAGCTCACTCTCATGTGATCCTTTTTGTGGTCTTTCAGTAACTTTGGAACAAAGAAAACCCATCCATCACGAGAAATTGGCTCGTGAATGTCTCACAAGTAGACATGCACATAAACAGTTGTCCTAAATGTAAAGGGTGTGTATAATGTGGTTGGTGGCTTTAACCTTATCTTCAGAAAAGAAATCACGTAAGATAATTGCTAATTGCTGACCTGGAAGAGAAGAAAAGGGTGTTTGCTTTCTCCTATACATTGCTCAGATGGCACATTGTTTTCCATAACCATCGACACATGTGAAGGACAGCTCCAAGAGCTCAAGAAATCCATACAAGGAAAGCTAACAAACTATCTGACCAGTTTCAAACTGCCCCTAGGGTGTGTATCGTTCATGCACTCCATCTGATCATGGTGTATGGGAAATAAATTTGACGATGGATTGAACTTTGGATATCTCATGCTTGATGATCTTAGTAATCTTGTTATATGCTGCACTGCACTGTTAGATTGAACGGGACGGGAGATGGTCGGTGAGATTCGCCTTTTATTTGCCACTTTGCCAGGTTTCGAATTTAGTTTTCTTCTTCATTTTTTTGAGGGTCCAACCAATAGAGATCCAACGTCTCACACAGAGAACAAACACTCTCGGTTACTACGCTAGGCTGCTTACAAGTTGATGCCTGACTGCTCGTCGACGATCGGCTGTCACCGTGCTTCCCCTGACAAAATGACTGCTGAGAGGCCACATAATTTACTCTTAATTATTGTTCATCACCATAAGCGAAGACCCAAAAACATATTAAGAAATCCATCGAGGGAGGGAAAGATGACAAAGCTTTCTGACGAAGGCTTTCCGGTTTGAGACTGCACTACCGTGCCACCTTCATGCACTGCGCGCACTTGTACAATCTTTGTTGTTTATCACAAGCAGGGAAAGGCTGGCAGCTGGCAGTGGACGTCTGGGCAGCAAAGCTGCAAACTTATAGTATATCAAGCAAACCATATTTTATTTTTCGTCAAAATTGAGATAATCCCACTGCCTCAGCAAGGATTGGTGCACGCATCAATATTTGTCTTCAAACTATATTGGCTACCAACAGCCGAAAATGAATGCGGGTGGTGGTCTAGCAATAAGGCAACTTAATTTGAGAGGAACCGTTTCGCCTGAGATTAAGATATTTGTAAGGGTTCGGGTTCATGTGACATGAGTACTTAAATTTGTTTCTGGTTTCCATAGTTGATTTGTCTATGAGGTTTCACTTTTTTTACTTTATTGTATTATTTATATTTATATTTTATTTGTGACAGTGGAAGTAATTATGTTGTGATTGCTTTGTTCTCTAGCCAAAAGAAAAAAGATAGCACAAATTGCTTTGTTTATAGGAATATATAGCAAATATCACCCTCGGTATCAGATATGGCCCCCTTTTTACAAGCCACGAAACGTTTCCTCGT